TAGCATTAAGAGCTTTGGCTCGTAATCCTATTCTCATTATTTTAATTTTATAAAAATTTTACTAAAAATAATATTAACGTATATAAAAAGATTTTTGAAATTTCTTTTTTATAATGTCTTAGTTTCTTTCAATATTTGAACAGATTTTTAAGCAATAAATAAATCAATCACCTCGCCTTGACTCATAACTCTTTGATTTTTAAATTTATTTTATTTCAATTAAGCTTTAAAATAGTTAATTTAATTTAATTTAAAATATTATATGTTAAAAATTGCGAAAAATTACAATGAAACTTCAAATATTTTATCAAGAAAGAATTTATCATTGAATATCTTCTGAAATAGAAATGTTAATATTGAAAATGCATTTTCCGTTCTTCAAATATTATTATATTAATCTTTGAAATAAAAACAAATACATTTCAAAAGAAAATTAAATAAAGTTAATATCATGAAATATTTCTTTATTGTGAGTCTTTATCACATCACGCATTCAATTTTCTCGGAAATTAATTAGAAATGTCTTTTTTCTTACTATTTTTAAAATGTAATAAAATAATAGCTAGTAACTATTATCAAAATTTTTAAGTTTAATCAATTAATCCGAAAGAAAAATGTCATGAGAATGTTCAGAAAGACAAAATGGCATCACGATAAATCCGAGAAAATTAAGTCGATAAGTTTATGAAAATTGTAAGGGAGCATACGAGATTTGCCACGTCAGTTCAATAGTAAGTAAATATGTGTCCATGCTATAAGATAGTTGAATGAAAATGGAAATTAGCTGAAATAATAAGAAAGCATATTTCAAAGAAAAACATTGCACGAAAGCGGAAAATAATACAAAATAATACAAAAGCAACAGAGGATTTATCAGGAAGATCGGAGACAAATTCGGTGATGCAAGAAATCCACCTTTGTGGAATCCATCTCTGTACGTCCGTTTTATATTTCTAACAAAATTTCCGAAAAATAATGCTGCTTAAAAAGTCGCATTTTTTATAAATGCGAGTTTTAAAAATATTTTTTATTATTCTGAATAATCAATTTCTATCCTATTTTTTCTTCTAAAATAAAAATTATCGGTTTCTTTTTTAAAATCATTGAATCATTAACATTATTTAAAACAAAATTTAAAAAAGAAATTTAAACCTTTTAGTGCATTTAATTAATTTTTAATTTATTTTAATTAATTTGGAAAGAATACTTTCTTTGATATATTGGGTTGTTCGGAAAATTCGTGCCGATTTTGAAGGAATTGAAACGCAGAAGATTAATTTTAAATTTTAGTATACATTTATTAAATTATATAGATTAGTCGGCACGAATTTTCCGGACAACTCAATATATTTAGAAGAATCATCAATATAGAAGAATCATTGTTTAAGATGAAAACAAATAGAATTTAATGAAATGAATGAAATTTAAAAATCTTTCCCTTTCTCTCTTTCTCTCCCTCTTTCCACTTTTTTCTTTTATCTCTCTAATATGCAAAGTATTTCCTGCGTACAAATTAAACAAATAATATATATGTCACATAATAAAAATATTTTTTACTTTTGTTAAAACATTTTAATTTATGTTCTTGTTATTTTTATTGAATTTTTTTATATACCCGAATATTAATTTAACATAATAACATAATTTATACTACAATAATTGGTACTAAATTGATATTTATTCTTAGTGTTAAATTGACACAATGAGTAAATGATTAAATAACATAAAAATAATGTAACATGTTTAAAATATTAGTTAAAATAATGAAATGAATGTATTAAAACATGAAAAAATGAATGTATTTAATACATTATAAATCTTAATTTTAATAAAGAAATATATTGCCACATTTGTATAAATTGTGTTAAAATTTTATACATACATTTTTGAAAATATTACATTTTAATTTTTACGTAATCCATAAAAAAAATTCTGCCAATAAGCGGAGAATTTCTCTTAGCATTTCCTCTAAGCAAACAATCTTATATGAATTAAGCGCGTGTATTTATAACACGCGCCTAATTTATTATTTATCTATAAAAATAAGGATCTATAAACATGAGAATCTATGAACATGAGCTATGATTAAAAATAAATTCCTCTATAGAAAATTCTACTGTAATAACCCGAAAAAAACTTTTTGAAATAAGAAGATAAACAAGATAAACAAGATAGCAGCACGCTTATTTGTTAGAAGAAGTTTGCCATTTATGTGCTACCATAGCTATATATACATGTCAGTATATGCAAGACATTTTTCTAGCATTAAGGGGATTGCAATCTTAAATTCAGCATCTTATGATAATACAATATTCCTCTACTTTGCAGAGTATCTTCTTGAGGTCATATATAAATGAAAAATCTTTTGACATTGACAAGGAACCGCTAAACAGCAGAATATTTCTTTCAGGGTGTAAATTACTGATTAATAAAAGTAATTACAATGTACATAAAATAAAGTACTAAACAACGGAATATTAAATTAAATTTTTGTGATTATATGATTTCATTATATGATTTGTAGAAATTAAGACAGCATCTTTCTTTTTTTCTGATTGCTAAATATATTAAGATGGACAGAGATCATTTGATTTCTCGCTACATATTCTTGATCATCATCGATCAACATTTAGTTAAAAAGATAGCTCAGTTGTTAATTCACACAATTATAGAAGATTAATTCACGAAACAATCACCGCACATCTCTCCGCGGTGAAACACTCACTCCACAATAACGACAAAACACTCACCATTTTGTCGACTTTTAGACTCCTCGATGCGAAGGCGATGCAGAGGAGGAGATCGTGAAACGTAAGTGTCAAAATGGAAAAAACGTAATACGATGAACGTAGCGACGGCGTGGTTTGGTGGTGGTTTCTGGTGGAATGGGTGTTGGGGTTGGCGATGACACCCTTTATATAGGTGCACCCTGGCGCGCATATTTCCCCTCTTCCCCTCGGCGCATTGGTCCTCTCTCTCTCCGTATCTGTGAGGAGGAGACATTCTCACCTGAGTTATGATTGGTCGGAGCGCACAACATGATACCTCTACATTATTTTGATTCAATTACACCATCACCACCGGCTACCGACCTACGTAATCTTCTTTATTATTTATGACTCTCGACAAATAATAATCATAGGGGCGGATGCGAGAGGATCCTCGCTGCCGTCACGTCATCGGTAACAATATCGACGCACTGATCTCTTCTTCTCTCTCGGTCTATTTATCATGTCTATCTATCGCGCAAAAATTCACTGTGCGTAGAAACAACAACAGTGTCAGAACAACCAACTCTCCATTTATATATCGAGCTTTAATGTATGAAGCTCGAAATAGCAACAGGTAAAGCCTTTATTCTCTCACAGTCTATCCTTGCAAAAATTTAATATTGGCCAATTTAATACTAGCCAATTTATTACTAAAAGACAGTAATTAATTACTTATTTGGAGTATTAATATTAGGAATACTACTGAACAACAACTGTTTTTAATACTTAAAATAAATAATTAATAACTGTTCTTTCAAGTATTGGCTAATATTAAATTTTTTATACACTTTAAATTTCTTACAGTGAAATCTCACTTCAAGAAAGTGAAAATACAATTACTGTTAAAAATTAAAATTTCACTTCTTGAAAAAGAGTGACAATTTTCAGTCCTTTTAGAATGAATTTTCACACTTCAAAAGAATGAAATTTCACGCCAAAAAAAAAATGATTTCACTTTTAAAAAAATGAAGACAGTCACTTTTTTTAAGAAGTAAAATATTTTCACTTTTTTCACTTTTTTCGAGTGGTTGCATTTTCACTTGAAGTGAGATTTCACTGCAAGAAATTTAGAATACATTTAGAGTGCAAGGTTAATTTGTATTTTATACAATCGCTTTCTGTTACAGAAACGCAATATAATGATGGAGTGACGAAAGTACATCTGTGTCGTCAGTTACGAAGATATCGCAGTAAAAAGAACTTTATACGAGAAGTTAAGTCATGCGAACATTTGATTTATGTATATCAATTTTTATGTTTGATTAACGATAGTTTCAGAAAGCACATAAAATGTATTATGTGCGAACTTTTTTCCATTAAACTAATTTGAGGGATTCCGAGTTTCGGACGAGAAATACGTCAGGGCTTTTTAAGTTTTAACGTGCTTACGCATACGCGATATGATACTTCGCAACAAGCTGCAGTAAATTCGTCTTTTCTTCATACAAATACTGTCCGTTATATGTTATCTTTCATGATACAAAAGATGATACAACATGATAGAAAAGTAAAGCAAATTTGCTTGTAAATATATATGCAACGCATTGTACGTCCGCGCCCGCGTAATGCGAGGGTTACGATAACATGTTAATCTTGCGGTGAATCAAATAAATTTCGATTGCATGTATGTACATATTTGTACTACAAATATTAATTTTATTTCTCAATTTTTCTATACATAGTTTAGACCGAACATTTTATTTATTTTTTATTTAGAATGTTAAATTTTCTTTTAAAAATTTATTCAAATATCAAAATAAACTAAGATGTTCATTATTAAAAATAACTATACAGTAATTAGTATTGCTAGCAAATAAAAATCCATCTGAGATACATGATTGCTTCTATTGCTAATAATTAATTGGAATAACAGATTAGTATTAATCTTCATGAAGAATTTTAAATTATATTCGTTTTCAGCATCAACATTTGTTGTCACTGAATCTACAAAATTATTTGTTGCAAGTACCGGTTTGTTGCACGCTTCTATTTATTCACATTATAAACATTAATTTCATTTAATAATTTTTTTACATTGGAGAGGGAAAAAATTTGCACGCTAATCCTAAGCCATAATGGCCAATTTCATTTGCGAATGTAAGGATTACAAATTATTATTAGCAGATGTAATAAATATTTTTTTTCTACTCGCTGCAAAAAATTACTTTTCAACAAATGCAAAATATTTGTCAAATTTGTTTGCTATATGTGTTAAACAAATTTGATAATTAAATTTTGTAATCCCTTTCGCGTTTATAGCAAATCTTTCATAGTATCTTTTTATAGCAAACTGTAAGAAAAATTATACGAAAATACACGCATAACACGATAAATATTGCACAATGCAAAATTATGTTAAACATAATTAGATAAATTAATTAGATAAAAATCTTGTTAAAATAAAGATTCATTAATGGTGATAAAATTAAACATAGGTATGTGACTTCTATCAATTTTTTTTATAACGACATTAAAATTTATTTTGCAAATAAGTTAATACAAAATTTTACACAATATGTATATTTCCATGACATAATTGAACAAATTTATTCATTTAACTTGTAACAAATAATATTTAAAAATCGATGGCTGTAAACGATGAAATGAATTTGTGATATAAACATTTTACTTATGCATTAATCACATAACTACGCCTCAAATTTAAACTAATCATCGATTTGTGATTACAATTATATTTAAAAAATAATTATAGTAATATAATAAAATAAATAATTGTTTTGAAAATTGTAAATATTATTTTTGTTATTATTTATATTATATAGTAAGTAATTAAATACGACTTTATGACTAAGTCTCTTTTTTAGTCAAATGTCAAAAGTCGTATTTACAATGTTTCAAAGAAGTTGATGACTTTTTAATGAGAAATTCTTCATCCACTTTTAAATATATGAGTATTTTTCCGTAAAACAACGAAACATTAATTATTTTCCTGTTACAACGAAGTAAAAACTAAAAGTCTCTTTTGAGTTAAATTTTAAAAGAAGTCAATGGATAATTGAAATTTTATCATATTTAGCTGTGTTGAGATAAAGTTTTATATTAGTGATTTAATTTTACATTTAATAATTATATTTAATAATTACATTTACATTGAAACATAATTTGAAAATTAGATAGTTAATAATATCGATAAGTAATAATTTCCTTTATTACTTTAATATTTTGGCTAAGAAAAAATCAAATTCGATTACATACTTTTTAGCTTTTTAGCTTTTTAAATCTGTACACAAAAAATTTATTAAATTTTAATAAATATTTTTTTTAATTGTCCTAGCGAAATATTTATTTACGGTAAATAAATATTTAAATAAATGAAATAAATAATTGAATAAAACTAATGATTCTTGTATCTAATAAATATGTTACATTTAATAAATATTCCGTTACGAGTATTCAAGAAAATATTGACTAAAATTCAGTAAATTTTTTTCACAGTGTATTGATTTTAATTGCAATAAAATTGCGAAGATAATTGAAAAGATATTTAAAATTAAATAATTGCAATATAATTAAAATATAATATTCTTAACATAAAGATTGTTTTATTATAATAATTCTAAGTAAAAGAGTAACTAAATTAACAAAAATTTTGAAGCATTTAAACACTATAAGTTTTGAATTACAATTAAAATATAAATTACAATTGAAAGCGAAGAGACTTTCTTATGAATTAATGCTCTTTTCTGAAAGTTAAAACGCATACATCAAAAAGAAAAGCACATATCAGTTATCCTTTAAATGAAAAAGCTTGTCTGAGCAAAAGGAGATCAGTGTCGTCATGTTCCATTGCATAAGCTCGTATTCAAGTTTAATATTATAGCGTAAAGATCGTTTCTCTATTGCCGACATTGAGCAGATAGTTGCATAAACGTACGTAATTCATACTTGTTACTACGGGATGTAACAAATACATTGCATTGTGAATTTGAATATAATTTACTTATTACTTTTCTTAACTTAAGAATATAGAGTAAAATGTTAAATGACAAAATTCAACAATTCAAAAGTAATAAAAAGCGTCAATCTTCAGTTCTTAAAAATACTATGTACCTTGCGAGATTATATATAATATAAACTTATTACAAACTAATATAATATAGGGTTAGCAAACGTTACTTTTCAGTTACTTTGCCGTTATTTTTTAAAAGACGATGTTGCAATTTTTTATGATGGTAACGTTAACTAACTAAATGCTAAAGTTGTATTTAAGTTAAGAGGAGTCACTGAAAAGTCGTTACCATTACGCGTTACTTACCGAAAAAAATTAATAAATAACGAGTAATGTTACTAATTATAAGTAATGGATAAAAAATAACGTGTTCCAAATTAGGCGTTATTTTTTTTCAGTAACGAATGACTTTTTCAATCTGTTACAATTAATATAATACGAAATGTTATATTTTTTAAATACTCATAATATATACGATTACTTGCACGATTAGTTATTCATAAAGGGATCGAGATGATATAATCACATATTATGTGGAACAGATATTTTGTGTGATCCATTCGTTTGGAATCAAAACTCCAAGGGAAAATAGACTTTATTACTCTTTTATGACAATTATTTTTGTTTAATGTAACATTTTTTATGTATCTTGCTTGAGTATAACTCTCGATTATTCTTCGAACGGTATCACACGAGTTATAAAAAAGCAACATAATAAATACTTTCATGCAAACAACGCGATTCCTATCGTATTTTCACAATTAATATAATTAATATAATTGTAATTAATAATTTAATTAATTTTTTGTTTTGCATCTTTCGTTATACGATTTGTATAAACAATTAATTTTGAAACTATTTGTTGCTAATAAAAGAAATATTCCTCTTTTTTATTAATCTCTAACCCATTCCATCGTCTCTCATCATATCTTACATATTGTATATTACCGTAATAAGTGATTCAGCCTTTTTGTTTGCTCTGAATTTATTTCGTAATGGTGACGAATTGACGTGTGCTTGATATTCATTTCTAAATATTAACCGACAATTGCATAGTAATATAGATATAGATGATATTACATTTTTCAGATGATATTTTCCCTCTCACGGGTACACCTTGACGTGGTGAGA